TCATCTGTGATTCCTGAAAAATAAAATGCATCTCAGTTTCCACAAAAATATTAACTGTTTTCAACATTGATAATAATCAGAAATGTTTCTCGAACAGCAGATCAGCATATTATACTGATTTCTGAAGATCATGTGACGCTGAAGACTGGAGCAATGATGCTGAAAATACAGCTGCGCATCACAGAAATAAATGACATCTTATTATATATTCACATAGAAATCAGTTATTTTAAATTGTAATACTATTTCACTATTTTTACAAAAAAAAAATATATATATTTATATATATAATATTTTTTTGTATAAATGTTTACTAAAATAAATGCAGCCGAGAGCAGAACATAACAAATCTGCCTGCACTTTCGAATGGTAGTTTAATCATAAAGTCAAAGCCGAGAAACAATAGAAGTGCTGGAAAAAGTAAAAAGAAAAAACAGAGATGATGAGAGCAAAAATCAAGCTCCTAAAATGTAGATATTACAAACTTGACATGAGACATTCAAAGGCAAGGGCACTCTCTCCACCACAGGTCAGTAAATAAAACACACGTATAAAGACACTGCATGAGCAATAAATTACATATTACCATATATTCACATAGAAATCAGTTATTTTAAATTGTAATACTATTTCACTATTTTTACAAAAAAATATATATATATATTTATATATATAATATTTTTTGTATAAATGTTTACTAAAATAAATGCAGCCGAGAGCAGAACATAACAAATCTGCCTGCACTTTCGAATGGTAGTTTAATCATAAAGTCAAAGCCGAGAAACAATAGAAGTGCTGGAAAAAGTAAAAAGAAAAAACAGAGATGATGAGACTATTTCACTATTTTTACAAAAAAAAAATATATATATTTATATATATAATATTTTTTTGTATAAATGTTTACTAAAATAAATGCAGCCGAGAGCAGAACATAACAAATCTGCCTGCACTTTCGAATGGTAGTTTAATCATAAAGTCAAAGCCGAGAAACAATAGAAGTGCTGGAAAAAGTAAAAAGAAAAAACAGAGATGATGAGAGCAAAAATCAAGCTCCTAAAATGTAGATATTACAAACTTGACATGAGACATTCAAAGGCAAGGGCACTCTCTCCACCACAGGTCAGTAAATAAAACACACGTATAAAGACACTGCATGAGGAGAATCACACAGCCTCGTCCGGCTGAACCCGAGTGACCCGAGCTGAAGACAGCATCCCGACAGCCGGATGAATTCAGCCCAGTGTGAAAATCAGTCTGTCAGAGCTGCTGCAGTGCTATTGAGGTCAGTATGAGAGCCTTCAGAAGTCTCCAGCAAATCCACTCTGAACTTTGTCAAACTCTAGAGACAGACAGACAGACAGACTGACAGACTGACAGACAGACAGCATGTGTGCGGATCAATAAGCACTCGGCAGCTGAAGACCGGCTGCACATGGCTCCAGCAAACACACACACACACAGATTCAAGTCATCACTTCCACTCTTTCCCCATTGTGTGGTACCTTTATATTTCTCTCGGACGTTCTCATAAGCTTGAACAAAGTCCTGTTCGTCTGCATTGGGCGGCAGGCAGAGGGGCTCGTACATGGCCATTGGTCCTGTCCTCGGTAGATGATGATGATGTGCGGCTCTGTGTTGCTGTGGATGAGTGTGTGGTGTTTCTCGCTCTACTCTAAACTTCATTCCAAAGCCAGCGCCAGCCACACCCCCTGCTTCCTGACTGGCTCCGCCTCTTAAAGACACACAAGACATCAATCTGATCATCCACACGAAACACCCAACACACCTCTCACAGTTTGGCACACTACCAACTATTGAAAGATGTGAATGCAGTGTATAGTAGTGGTACATAAGTGTTTTGAAAGAAGTCTCCTCTGCTCACTAAGTCTGCATTGTTTTGATCAAAAATAGAGTAAAAATTGTGAAATATTATTACAATTTAAAATAACTGATTTCTATGTGAATATGTCCTGTTCGTCTGCGTTGGGCGGCAGGCAGAGGGGCTCGTACATGGCCATTGGTCCTGTCCTCGGTAGATGATGATGATGTGCGGCTCTGTGTTGCTGTGGATGAGTGTGTGGTGTTTCTCGCTCTACTCTAAACTTCATTCCAAAGCCAGCGCCAGCCACACCCCCTGCTTCCTGACTGGCTCCGCCTCTTAAAGACACACAAGACATCAATCTGATCATCCACACGAAACACCCAACACACCTCTCACAGTTTGGCACACTACCAACTATTGAAAGATGTGAATGCAGTGTATAGTAGTGGTACATAAGTGTTTTGAAAGAAGTCTCCTCTGCTCACTAAGTCTGCATTGTTTTGATCAAAAATACAGTAAAAAATGTGAAATATTATTACAATTTAAAATAACTGATTTCTATGTGAATATATAATAAGATGTCATTTATTTCTGTAATGCGCAGCTGTATTTTCAGCATCATTCCTCCAGTCTTCAGTGTCACATGATCTTCAGAAATCAGTATAATATGCTGATCTGCTGCTCGAGAAACATTTCTGATTATTATCAGCGTTGAACACAGTTGTGCTGCACAATATTTTTGTGGAAACCTTGAAGCACTTTATTTTTCAGGATTCACAGATTAATAGAGTCCAAAAGAACATTTATTTGAAATGTAAAAAAATAAATTTGAAACTTTTGTAACATCATAATTGTTCTTACTGTCACTTTTGATCAATTTAATGCATCTTTGCTGAACAAAAGTATTAATTTCTTACAAAAAAATAAAATTCTTAATTGCCCAAAACTTTCAGTGCATCACATTTTCCATAAAAATATAAATCAGCTCAATTAAATTAAATTTTTTTTTTTAAAGTACAAAAATTATTACACTTTGTAGAAACATTTTGGAAGTTTCTGGAAGCCACATATTTAAGCATGTTTCTGTTTGCTTTCTTTCTCAAACTGCCAAGAGTTTAGACTAGGCAGCGGCTATTTTGGTATTTTTTAGTGATATGCTAAAAGTTTTTTGTACTTTTTTTTTTTTACTTTTTAAAAAAAATTTCACTAAGTGCAAATAAGTATAGATTTTATTTACACTATGTTAAAACAGCAGGATTTTCTGCTATTTATTCTGAATTATCTGCACCTCAGTATTGTAATATATTATAAAACAGTATGCAATAATAACTTATTGAGTGTAAATTTTAATTTGAATTCAAATTATTAAATGGATGCCACCTTATTGGAACAAAGGCCCTCCCCCTACACCTACCCGATACTTTATTTTCAACTTTTTTTAATTATTTCCTTCATTTTTATTAAAAATAAATGCTTTTATGATGTGATTTGAAATTTTGTAAAAGGGGGAACAAAAAAGTTTGCCAAAAGGCGGATTCGAACTCGGGTCGATCGCATTAAAAGGAGCATAATACACTCTTTACCACCTGCGCCACTGAAGTCGATGGCAATCACCCGTCTTTTGTAATGTTGACTAGCCCAATCAGATGTTGGTGGGCGGAGTTAGTGTAAATAGCCTCTGCCAAAAAGGCGGGCTTAGTGTAAATAGACACTCCGTTTATTTTTACCCAAAACGACTTAGAAAATGGAAAATAACTATGTAATATTTGTAACATGATAGCTGGATGTCACTCGCTAAATTAAACAACAACGTATCATCCTACTCTTTCAAATGTTTTATCACTGCATGCAGCATCAGATACCATGCTAAACTATGGCAGGAAGTATGCAGTATATTGTGAGCAGTGTGCAATGAGCAATACTATACTCAAAAGTGCACTGCCTTATGTGCTTGACTTCACCTTTCATTTCCACTCTCACAAAGCAATATTAAGCATGTTATTAACATCTCTTCCGTTCCAAACACAGCCCATGTTTCTTTCACATATATTTTTGCTTTATTTTGCTTTCTTTCAGTCTTTGTTCACTCTTGCACAGCTCCTCCTTCACTAGCCTGACTGAAACTTTCAAAAGTGCTCTAAAGAAAGACGTTTTGTTGAACAGGTGTGTGACGTCATGGTGTGTGAACAGGTTTGAGTGATTCCTGTCAGACAACCGATCAAGCCACTTAAAACTACACTGCAAAAAAAAAAAAAATGTTTTGTCATTTTCCAGTACAACTACACATTCTTCAATCAAGACATATTTACTATAAAAGACTTTTGTTTTCCAAAAAACAGAAAGCAGAAAAAAAATAATAATAATATAAAATAATAATATAACAAAAATAAAAATACATATTTTTCTTGTAGTAAGCAAAAACTCACTTAATTTTTATACTTTGGGATGCACGATATATCGGCCACCATATCGGTATCGGCCGATAAATGCTCATTTTTTCTGTTATCGGTATCGGCCTGATAAGAAAATTTGGCCGATATCTTAAAGCCGATAAATAATGCATTATTTCCTTCAGAGACACTTCAGATGCGCGCTGTTCGTTTGCAGCCTATAAAAGACAAAAATATGATACCTACAAGAACACATCACATTGAATGAATATCCCTGACAAAACTTTAAAGAAATATGTTGAAGAAAGTCATAAAACGGATTGAAGCCAGCCTCAAACCACATCGGTTCTCAAAAAAAAAGCATTATCTTTTAAATATTTAGGTAGTTTGGAAAATATTCAAATTGTTTGAGATGCGCCTATATAATATAAAAAAATATAAATATAAAACAGTAACTCTAATTCTTAACAAAAATATAATTTTAATATATAAAATTAGTTTCTATTCATGCATGGCTCATATTTCTCATTAATATTACACTCTGAGGCTATGATTCCTCTTATCTAAAGCTGTAATGCTGTCTAATGCAATAAATCCGTTCTAACTACACTCCTCCAACAAGCTAAAGGCGTCCCACATGACTGCAGCTGAAATTTGCCTTAATGATTCATACTCGAGTGGTTTGTGCCTCTATTAGAAAGAGACACTGAAATATCTGCTCTTTAGCTAAATCAATATGATGTTTCCTCTAGCGTCATGATTAGGTCAGCAGATATGAGTCAACAGACCTGCGATGCGGATGACGGCCCTCTCGGCCGGGTCCAGCACCTCTCCGGAGGCGGATCTGGAGCGCTTGACCCGCTGGTGTTTGGGGAGGTTCCAGGGGAGCGTGTCTCCGGGACTCGGCGAGCTGCTGCGCTCACTGGAGCTCTGCTCCGCCGGAGGAAGATCCCACAGCTTCTCCATCGCCTGACACATTCACAGCAAACACGATGCAGTCAATAAACGGACATATGCATGCAGAGAATCAATACACTTGATGAAATACAGCATGCACATCATAAAAAAAGACGCTGTTGAAATGCCTGTGTGATGTGTCTTCAGCTGTGACTACTGTATATTCACAGCAGAGCACAGACTCCTGTTCATTATTGCTAAAATGAGATAATAAATAATGACTACTTCTGAATGTGACAGAAAGAAAGTGGTCAAGCAGTCACTAACTTCTGTTTGTGAACATCTATTTGCTGTCAGGTGAAAATATGTCCTCTTGCAATATGAATATTGTGGTTATTATGTGAAAACACTCTTGAAATGTTAATATAAAGAATTATACGTAGGCTATACTGTATGTGGGCAAGTGTTGTAACACAGGGTGGGATGTAGTTATAGCTATACTATAAAGCCACCACTCTTTTCTTAAAGTGATAGTTCACCCAAAATCGAAAATTCAGACATCATATGCATCCTCATGTTGTTCCAAACTAGGGCTTAAATATTATCAATATTCGAATTATATTCGAATTTAAAAGGCATAATTTCAGATGGGGGAAAAAAAACTTTTGGCTTCTCTCCTGAGGCCACAAGAGGGCGCATCGAGCAAAATACTATGCACGTTTCTTCAAAGCATAATAAAATAACGCGACTATCTTTGCATAATGTTTAAAATAATGCTTATAAACCACATATAATTAATAAAGTTGCTTAAACAATTATATGTATAGTTTAATACAAAGGACCGAAAACCAATCACAAAGAGTACTTTCTTCATTTAAAAACACGAGATGCAGTGGGATGGGGAAAACCGCCATAACATCTTGAGACATGTTTTTTAAAAGTTGAACTTACATTAATTTTTCATGGCTTTCTAAACATGCGGCTCTCTTGTGCGAGACGTGAGTGCAACGCTGATAGATGTCCCTCTAGAAAATGTGATAAATATGTGTTCTGTGTGAACGGCTTGGTTTCGGTTTTGATGTAAACAACATCTTCCTTTACTGATTGTTCTCTTTTTCTGCAATATTTTGAATGAACAACGCAGCAGCGCTGCATCTAGTGGCTTCAACTGGACAGGCTAACAAAAACATTAAAATGCAACGACACTTACATTGTCATCGCATCTCGTGCGCCGCTGATAATGCTGCCCGACGCACACCTAAAAATCGAATGCAACGTTTATGCATTCGAATGTGGATTTTTATTTTAAATTCAACGAATATTCGAAATTCAAATTTTTTTTTTTGACAGCCCTAATCCAAACCTGTACGAGTTCCGTTGACTATGCAAAAAACACTGGATATAACCACTGACACCAGCTCTAGATATTGCAAAAGCTCCAGTTTAGGGCAAACCCACATGCAAACAAACACAGGGTGAGATATGATGCTTGCGTGAACATGCAGATGCGATATATAAAGACCTGTCTTTGTTTGAAGACGATGAAGGACTGAAAAAGCTGGGGAAATGAGATGAACTGTAAATGAACTCTAGCTACCTACACTCTAAAAAATGCTGGGTTGTTTCAACCCAACTTTGGGTCAAATATGGACTAACCCAACTTTTGGGTTAACTCATAACAAGTTATTTTTAATATGCCTTAATACAGTATGTTGCCATAAGAACAAACAATTGAAGGAGTTAAGTATAAGCATAAAACCATTCATTCCGGTTTACATAAGTGTACACTCTAAAAAATGCTGGGTTAAATACAACCCAGTGCTGGGTAAAATAGGGACAAACCCAGCAATTGGGCTGTTTTGACCCAGCGGTTGGGTTACTACCCAGAAGGTTGGGTTGAACATTTAACCCAACCACTGGGTCAAAACAGCCCAATTGCTGGGTTTGTCCCTATTTTACCCAGCACTGGGTTGTATTTAACCCAGCACTTTTTAGAGTGTATAATCTGAAATGTGCATGAATCAAAACTCTGATAAAGTTGAAAGGCCCAGTTCACATAACAGCTATGAAAACGTCATTAGTGATCGATCTATCGTCTCATGGATTATAGTGCACACACTTCTTATCTTCAAGAATTGACTTACTGGACCTCAGTCAACATGAAAACGATAGCTGGTGTAAAGATAGTTCCTACTAATTATAGTTAAGGTAGGCCTGCGTAGCAGTCCAGGGTGCACAGATGTATATCTGATATAGAGCAGGAACGCTTTACCTACTGTTTACTTATGGATGGATGTTAACTGAGTCATCAAGTGTCTCATAATCTGGGTTATGACAGTCCCATCATCTCAACACAGCAGATAGAGTGACGCATGATGTACTGTAGACCTGATAGAGACTGACAGAAGTACTGAAGCACATCATAGTCCACAGAAGATGAATTGAGACTCACACTTTATGGATTTGAGGAGCGAGGTGTTTCTACTATCGCACACATATGGAATAGAATATAGCATAATATTATTTTGAGTGATTGGTATTCTGACACCTTCCTCTGATTTTTCAATTATTTCTATTGTATTGCAATGCAAAGTAAACCTCTAAGGCTGACAGTACACTGTAAAAAAGAAAAAAAATATGAAATTCGGTAAAAAAATATATATGTATCATTACATGATGCAAGCTAAACAACCGATGAAATAAAACTATTTTAATAGTTATTGTGTGAAAATGATTCATATAAATATTGCACACATTATGTCCCACGGACATGCCATCATTTTCACCATAAACACAAATGTAGCTCTAGCTCCAGTTTGTCTTGTTAGCATCATTTACTTGTTTAGCAAGGACAAAACGAAATATGACACATTACGCACTAAGAAAACAGAACAATTAAGGTTAATATGAATTTAAGAGTTTGCCACTGCAACTCTAATTTAGTCAAGTTATCCAAAAGTGTGGTTTTCAATATTGTTTAGAATATAAAAAATACAAACTAGCAAGAATGTAAAAAAATGATTAAAATGTCATTTCCGCAACCATTATTTCCAATCCAGAATGAATGTTGGAAATGACATTGAAATGTCCATGGTGGCACAAAGACTTCTTCAATATTGTTTAGAATATAAAAAATACAAACTAGCAAGAATGTAAAAAAATGATTAAAATGTCATTTCCGCAACCATTATTTCCAATCCAGAATGTATGTTGGAAATGACATTGAAATGTCCATGGTGGCACAAAGACTTCTTTTGTGGTGTGTTTATGAATTGATGGAACTAGTGAGAATATGAAAAGTGAATTTTAAGGGTGTTTCTAAAGGCCCACAGGACCAAAAGTGCCCATTGTTGAAGAAACACCCGTTTGTAACGCAGAAGTGCTGATGCATGAAGGCAACACTGGTGTATCACATCTGAAATACAATAAAACTATCTGAGAATAAGAATGCTGCCTCTGACTGATAAGAGCTGAAGGAAACCATCCGCACTATTTGTGCACAGACGATTAAGAAATTATAGCTATGCACTCGTATTTTCATATTAACGTCACTACATTTAAGCCAGTTCTAATTCGAGACACTGAGCCCATAATAACTTTTCGAATAGCTTTGATTATAAGGACATAGCATAGACAACATGCATCACCTGACTAAACCACTGCAAAACAGACCAGAACATCTGTTCATAAACATATCATGCACGCACCACTGTCTCCGTCCATCCTCAAAATATGATGTGCAATAAACATTAAACATCACATAAACTGAATCTTAATAAAGAGAGGTTGTAATGTCTCTGGTAATCTACCGTATGTGCTGCTGCAGCTCCCGCGGCATTGACACGCTCGCGCTTCACCGGGCATGACCGAGATCCACGCGCGGTAATAACACAGTCGGTCTGGCGCAGAAAGAAGAGCTGAAACACAGAAACTGCAGTGCTGTGCGGCGTCCACACACACACACACACACACACACACACACAGCCGCTGTAACGTCAGCGATCAATGATTAACCCGTGTACAACAGCGACCCGCTGCGCCAAAAGCGCTGCCATGTAGATGACTGAACGCTACCGGACCGATTCCGCTGCAGTGGACTCAGACCTTCTTATGATGACCAGCCACTTCAATCCACTGTCCAGATCTGACGGGGTTTAGCACGACAGCTGGTTCAATTAAAGAGACACGAGGAGAGAGGGACGTGCAGGTGTGTGAACTGTGGTGTACGGTTGAGTTAACAAAATAATGTCATTTAAACACGAAATATCAGTAAATTAGGTGTTCTCTGAGTCATTTATCTGTGATGTCATATGCTTTCTGTTTTACAACATGCATTTGTTCATCTGCTCAAGCAAGATGTCAACAATTATTTGGCTATGAATTGTATACTAACAGACAGACAGACAGACGGACAGACAGACAGACAGATAGATAGACAGACAGACAGACAGATAGATAGA